GATAACGCTAAGTGAAATCGCATAACAACGCCAACCATCGAGCTACCCATGCACCACACGTCCGAAACGAACCGAGTTATGCAAATTCGCCTACACGCAACTCTGTATCCGTTCTCATTGGTTCGGGACGAATGCATCGTTGATATTGTTCTCAAATCACTCGATGTGCTGACATGGAACATGAGAATGAACATGCCGTGATAGTAGCCGACGATAACACGCTCGATACGATTACGCTCTCGAAATGATACGATCCGATTGGAAATAGATTGATTTATTGTGCGTTCAGCAATACGTCTAAATTACTTGCATGATTTTGCATGAACAATACATCATATTACACACAATCACATATACAAATAATGTGTATTTGCCTTTACATCTTTTAAACTCAAATAATTACAGAGTAACATTATTGAATTTCTTAACTAATTTTTCTGAATATATATATATATATATACAATACATTCTGTGATAGATATTTGTATTATTCGTATTGTCAATCATTACCAATACATTAATTTAGCGTTTTTGATTATGTACAGCTTGTTTTATAAAATACGAATAAAAAAATGTATAATATTTAAGAAACAGGTGAAAGCATATATATCCGCGGTAATCATTACATAATTTTGTACAATATATTCAAGTATCAGTATATATTACTTTACAATGATTTTGAATGTCTCGACTTCCTTCAAGCTCATTATTCCTGCTTTCTCATTAGCAAAGAGAAATAAAATAAAAAATAAAAAATTAAATTAAATATAAATTAAATATTAATTGTCATTTGTTAATAGTAATTTTTTCTGTGTTGTTTTACGACAATACAGTAATACGGATAATACACATTTAGTTTAGTAAAATGTTTGCGAATAACTTACTATATTGCATCCTATGTAAAAGCAATATGCATTAAATTTCTACAGTACGTGCTTTAACTGTGATTGCGATATGTGATTCGAATATTCGTGGTTAGACCATTGGATCATTGGATCAACAGATATCGTAGATAATGATGCAACTATTATATTTCATCATTATCAGATTTCTTAGTCTATACTGTATTCATGACCGCCAACAAAATATTTATCTAAATTTAGTCTTACCTCTTCAAAAACAACTTTACTGTTGTAAATGCTTATAATAAAATCTTTATTATACTATTTAAATAGAAACGTTGCGTAATTCGTAATGAAAAATATTGTTTAACAAAATGTAGAAATACTCTCAAGAAATTTAATATAGAAACATTTAATATAGAAGTAACACTATCGGGAATCTACTGAAATTAAACATTCGATGCCTGGTTGCTAAAGAAATTCCTGACATTCCGTAATTCTCTTCAACTATTATTTGATCGTGTCGTAGAGGGAGTGTGCTAACAATGAAACTTACTGAAATTGAAATTGCATTTGACTTATTAATGACAATTGTCACGTTAATATGTAATATTATTTTGATAATTGAGTTATCAATTACAATGGTTTTTGGAAATAATTATTATATCTCTTAAAAATTCTTTACGAATAAGAAATCTAATCTCATTAAAATAAGACTATTGTATTTTTTTGAAAGCAGTGAAAAGTAAAGATAAAAGTGTCGAAACTATTTATTCATTCACTTATATTTGTTTATTTATATTTATAATGCGAATAACGGTTGGACTACGATTGGAACACGTGTCAGAAAGACAATGATTCATAGAAGATGATAAAATAGTGATACCACTGACATTGAAAATTGTTAATTACTTCCTTGTTTGTTATCTTCGGTAATATACAAAACCTAATTGTCGCAGTACTTATGTCAATTAGAATTTAAATGGCCATTTATCTGTTATTTTCGTTCAAGGAACAAAATGTTAATTTTCTGTTGCACAACGCTTTTCGTTAAACTAATTTATTGCTACATAATTTATATAACATTGTAACAATAAATCAAATAATTTACATACATAATATATGTAAAATAAAGTAACCAGACCTTAGTACCTAATACAATCTACGCGCTGTAAACAATTATAAGATAAATTCAACATGGCACTAATAAATCGTACAAGTTATCTGTTTGACTTGATTGCTTCAATTTTTTGCGTCATTCTATTGTTAGTAAAGCAAAACATTGTAATCATAATATAATATTTTGTAGATAAATAATTGCTTTTTATAACTACCAAATTGTTATTAATTTCCGTTTTAAGTTTATATTATTGTAATTGTATATTTGTATTTTACAAAATGTATTTAATTTATATTTTTGTTACAATATTTTGTTTATAATTGAAAAGAGAAAACTTTTTGTAAATCCTAGCGAAAATAAAAATCAAAGCGTAAGTCGAATTAGGAGAAAGTAATAAAAGCTTCTTGGAAGCAAAAATTAAGACAACGGAACATAAGAGAAATGCCTCTTTTACATTTTGTTGTTCCAATTTTCGTTTTTTAGAAGTTTCGTTTATGCTTTTGTCACTCTTCTCTTACATTTGACTTACATTCCAATTATTATTTTCGCCAGGGAGGTGATATTAATGTTACCAATCATAGATATACATATATAAATGTACACATGTTAATTGTAACGTTTTTTTCCTAATGTTATTATTTTAGACCATGAATTCCACTTCACTAAACATTGTAAGCAGATAAAATTGTTTATAAAACGTTCTTTATATATTCTTATATATCAATAAATATATCAATAAACTTATAATCTCATGCAAAAGTGACATTGAATCATTTTATTTTTCATTTTTCTAATATATTTTATTTTTTAAAGTGAAAAACATGTACTCTTAAGTCATATTAGATATACATATGTAAATGCTATTTTCTGAAAATCTTAATCTTTTTAAAATCACTATATTTATATAAATATTTGAAAATGTCATATTTTTTAACGTTTAGAAATATTTCCTTTTTTGAATCTGACCATTAATTTTTAATTTTGGACTTACAATCAATAAAAAATTAAAAAACATTACAAAGCTTAAATAGATAGGGTATGCAAAGTCCGGTTATTTTAATTTAAAATTAATTGCATTATTCCACATAAATAGTGTAATTAGCACGTAAATTATATGCAAATCAATATAAGAGCCTAGCATACAAGTAATGTAAATTTTATTAGAAACTTAATTTTCGACGTACTCTGCTTTTATTAAGTAAATATACTCTTAGGCTAGTTGAATTACTTTGAGCTTTCACACGCGGTGCGAATTTAGGATTGTTCAAGTTTGAATTCTTTCCAATTGCTGTAAGTAGAAACAGCACTCCAGTATATACATTTGCGATTTTTCTTTATTATAATCTGGAATTTTATTTCTGACATGTGCTAAAGCAGAATGTGCAGATTAGTTTTAATATTAAGAAGCATTAATTTAACATTAAGAAGAATATATTTAAATTTATCATATACGATACATATGTGAGATAAATAAAAAGATATGTAAAAAAATCACACATCCTTTATCTTTAAACAATAATTACCATTGTATACAGAAAAGAGAGTTCATAAAAATTTTATCGTTAAATGAGCTTATATTAAATTATAAATAAAGAAATGAATAAAGTTATTTTATAATTAGGAAGGCGCAATTTGCCTACAAAATAAATGCCTACAGCTCTATTTGTGCATGATCGTATTGCTCACAATGCATTGCACATATGACTATATGCCATTTTGTGCACTGAACCGTGTATTGCGCGCGCGTACACAAGTCACATTACGCATATGGTCATATATGATACATATGAGGAACACATTTTGGATATAATACATATTGGATATGTAAAATAAAAAAGTTATACTCTCTACTTATACGCATGCCATTTATGATTGCGTATTAATAAAATAATTATTTTTACATGTATTACATAAGCGGTTCTGTATTTATATCTTTAATGCTGACATAAATATATAAACGCAATGATATCTAATTTTTTGACAGTTCTAATCTTCTGTTCAATTTTTGTAACATTCTTTTTATCATGTTATAATGCAACAATTTTCTATCTATAGGTAAAAGCAGACTATGCTCGGTTATTATCGGAGTTCTACGAACATAATATATATGCAATACTGCACATATGACAGCAATGTAGCAACGCATAGGCGCAACGTGATCGTATACACGACACGATATATGTACAAAAAAGTCATACATAGTGTAAGAGATTTGGAATACTTTCCAGCAAGAGACACAGATGCACAGTGTAACACAGTAAATCATTACATTTATACTATTTGTTAATGTTAAACAAAGATGATCACTGTCATGTCACATTGTGTCACTTGCTGGAAAGCACTATTAGTGTGCAACGTAACACGTGTGCATATGGTCGTGTTCAATACGCTGTGTACAATACAATACAATCATGTATGCAATGTATTGTGTGCATTATAGTTGTGTGAGCAATATAGTTATGTGCAAACGAAGCTAGGTAAGTGTTTTGTAGGTAAACAGGAGTCTCCTTTTATAATTCCAAATAAATGTCAATATCTATTGACGTAGTATAATATATTCGAAAAATATAATTCATTTATTTTTTGTCGTTCAAATTACATATCCTATTAAACGCAAATATATTTGGTTAACGATAAATAAATGTTTAGTTGTTTTATAAAGAAATTTATTTATTTTTATAGTCATTTAAAAATAACAAATAAAAATTGAAATTAAAAGACAGACGTATCACAGTTAAAAGTTATACTTGTATAAAATTAATGAGATATACATATAATTATATCAAATTAATAATATATATCGTAAAAAATAATATTTTATTTTTTTATTTTAAGAAACAAATATTACAACTATTGTTTAATTAACAAACATTGAAATTACATGTTGCTTATTTCATTCTATTATTTCGATGTACTTCAAACTTACTAACAGTAAGTATATTAAGGACTTTGTGTAAATCTTGTATTATATATATTATGCATTAATTGTTAAATAATATAATAACTGTAGCGTCGATATTTTACAGTGAATTGCGAGCTTAATACATAGACGAGTATTTTGCTAATTTTCTAGATGCAGCAGAACTTGCAGCTCCAGCGGAAGCAACACCAATGCCTTTATAATCATCAATGCCATTATTGCCTATAGGACGTGGCGATATTATACGGCTAGGACCAATCGGTGCTGGACGCGCAATGTTCGGCAATGTATGCATGATACGATATAATATAGAATCTTCAGGAATATTATTCATATTTATACGTTTACTCAACGTATCACCCATTCTGGCACGTAAGTCATCAAAAACCGTTCTCAAGTTGCTGGCAGCACTTGATGCTGATGTCACAAAATTATGAGTTAACTCGCCAAGGGGTATACCTCCAAACTCTGACATACCGTTTTCTTGAAACAGTCTTGGAAATATAATTCCTCCATGTATTATCTGTAAAAATTGTGCAAAATATTGATAACAAATACAACACTACATCAGAAAATCTATAAAAAATATATATGATAGATGAGTCATTAAATAACTTTAAGTTTGCTCTCAAAAATCAAGATGGAATATATTAAGATTATTTATTGGTTCACTTATATACAAAGTGTTCATAAAAGAGCATTTAACGTTTATAGATACACATTATACTGACAATGAATAACCACTAAGGTTTTTTTATTCTGTATAATATGTACTACCATATAAATCCTGAATGTTTTTTTGTAAAGTCTGTATATGTATATTTAGCATAAATTTTCTGCATATGATATTATGATACTATAATGTTCTTTTCTATTTAACACAGTTTTACAACGAATCGCTATTGTTATATTTTACATGATTTAAATTAAATTTAAATGTATTACTGAAACATATAATGTAACTTTAATTTATAACATTAATTTAATTGACAATTAATTTGTATATTTCAGAATATTATTTTAGACATAGTATAGTTACGTACATTTGCAGAAATGAGTGTCAGGAACATCGCAAAGATGATGTGACTTCGAGCCATGATGAAAAATTGGACTCGTATAAATCCAAATGACTTTAGAACTGAATTGTTAATTGCACACAACTAATTTTTTTTTGTTTCAGAATACCTTTTTATATGCGGAAATGATGTATTTCTTTGCGCAAAATCCACGTCCCGACGAATCTTCAAACATTGATATGTCTCGTTCTGACAATTATTAGTTTTGAATACATTGCACGATTACGATTGCAGTACCAATGTGCATGCGATATAAGCAAGATTGTCTTAATCGGTCTCACGTACTATGATCTCATATTTCGGCGTGTCCTTGAAATATGAACGAAATGCTATCGAATTTAAGTAAGTTGATATATGTAAAACAAATGTATACAAATAAAAGGGAGAGAGAAAAATTCAAAAATTTAATAATAATATACATACGTAATATAATTTTTGTAATTAATAACTTTGTAAATAATTATTTATTTAATATACTTATTAATCCACTTTAAAAGAAATTGTGGAATAAAATGATTATAACAAATTCTTTAGTGAACAATTACAGATATATTGTATTAAACGATATATTGTATTAAAAAATGTAAAGAGAGAAGTAATAGTTTTAAAATAATTTTTTTATTTTGGAAAGCACATAAAACAAAATCTATGGAATTTTGGTATTTAAATCGACAATACAATCTTATAACGCATAACATACGAAAGTTATTGCAAATTTTAATTAGGACTAAATTAAATATCTTGTCTTCTCTCTCTCTCTCTTTCTCTTTCTCTCTTTGTGCAATATCACAAGCATGAAACACATACATGCTTTATCGTATTGATCATGTCTAAAGAAACATTTCTCTTCTTCTCTTCATTTAATTCTAAATTAAAATAAATTAGAAATATAACACATATTTGTAGCGGTTCATAAATAGGTACAATTTTTCATCTTTCAGATTATACAAAGTTATTTACCTATTATTAATTCGCCTATTATTTTAACAAAAATTGCTAATCATAGAGAGATTAAGCTTAATGTTGTTTTATGCATGAATTTTGTACTATTATATTATTCTTGATATTTAATGTATAAGATATTTAATGTTGCAAATTAAGAAAATGTGTAAAATGAAATTTTTATCAAGATAAAATCATTTAATCAAAAAGAAATCTATGAAATTTTTTTAGCGTTCTTTAATTTCTCATATTATATCTTTTTATTACCAACGCCATTTTATATATTTTAATATATTATTTTTTGAGTGCGTATGGAAAATAATTACGTCATTATAAGAAATTATAAATAATAATTAATTATTACAAGGATGCAAGATGTAACGATATATGTGTGTTAGGTGTTAAGTAATTTTTACAGAGCTACGCATTAATATGTGAGGATTTGTATGCAACGTTGCATTACGAAAATATCGAAATTCGTTTATTCTCAAACTGCATTTATATCATTGTCATCGAGTACCGATATTGTTATCGTAATAACAAGGCCATAAATGAAGGCAATTACGTGGAAAATGTCGAAATGCAAAACAAATGACAACA